GTTGTACAAAATAAAAATATATATAAGAGAAAAAAATAGGGCAGCGAATATACTAAACCTTATATCAAGCACAATTATAAGTTTAAAAGAAGTTTAATCCTTGTTTAATCTAGATGACTTTGCCGTGCTTTTTTTCTTGCGGTTGTTGTGTGCTAGAGTAGAAACTTCACTGTAGAAAGATTCTTGCTCCATTGCAAATTCCATATCGAAATCATCATCTTCTGAACTATTAAGTATGATTTTTTTTTAATCAAACCAGGTAAGTACCTAGGAAATTTATTAATAAAGCGAAAAAATTTATCGTGGCAGTGCTTATGACTTACCCCGTACAAAGAGAAAACGTCATATAATAATGGTGATTTAAATACTAGTAAACTATATATATAAAGAAAAAAGACTAACTGGTAAGACACTTGTCTCCGTCATAAACATTAGTACAGTGTCGTGCTAGGGACAGTAATCAATGTCTCCGTCACCGAGATTCGCATCCTTTGAATCACCATTCATGGATTGCCGCATTCGGTGGGAATATTTGAGAATCCCGAACATTGAGTGATATACAAAGAATTTGGAATCGCTGCCTCCAAGTTGTCACCGGCATAAGCGTCAACAGTCAACAAGTCTAAACTAACTAACCCATAATCTGATACAGTCCATTTGTAGACGAAAGTAACCGATTTCCGAGAACCAGCTTTTGTATACTTGGGAGTGAAGTCGGGTTGAAGCCGAAAAACCTATTCTGGTGAACCGGATTGAGACAGATGGCTGGGAATTCGGCTTCAACAACAAGAAAAAACCTCAGAAAATTAACAACAAAAACAATAAAAAAACAAATACAAGGTGAATTCATTCAAGATGCCCGCATCTCTGGTTGCTCGGACGTGGATGGCTGCCCAGAGAACTCCAGACGGAGATGTTGGCTGTTTTCAGATCTGAATCCAGATCTGCAGTTCTCATCAGAACTGGTGACGCCGCCAACGATTTTGTCTAGTTGAGACCGGATCTGAGCGTCTGGATTGGTCCGTGCACCTGTAGATTTGGCTGCTGGTGTGTCATGAGTGATGGCCATACCTGACCACCTGATTCAGATCTTAGGGATCTGCACTGTCAACACAGCGAGAGGCTCCGTTGATCAGGATTGCGTTGGCAGTGACATATTTGTCAGCGACAGCAGTGGACGGAATCACCAGATCTGTTTTACAAAAGAAAGGGAGAAGAAAAGAAAAAAATTGAAAAACTTTCATTAAGCATTAAGCATAATTTTTGTTCTCCTTTGGAATGTATTTCTTCAATCGAAAAAATTTCATTATTAGACACTATTTGCTTCCCTACCTCCGTATCATCTTTTAATAAAGTACTGATTATGATTTTTTCCTGTGGTTGGGTCTGAAATTGGTAACAAAACCTGTAGAAAAGGGATTTTTGGGCTAGAGGAATAGGAGAATTTCACAGCAGTGGGATTTAGTTTTTTTGTGGAGCTGGTTTGAGAGCTATTTTTATTAAAAAAATCTCTTCATTATCTGGAGGAGAATTTCGGGGAGAGTTTGACTACGGAGTTAAAGAGTCTAATTTTGTCTTCTCAGCATTCAAAATTTGAGTATCCGGATGTGATGACTTTAAGTGAGACAAGGGCGCTATCTCCTGATTTTGTTGACTAAGCGAAGGAGTCTGCTGCGCAAGAGTTTGATCCGGATTTTGTGATGACGTTCACTGAGCAAGAGGAGCAATCTCAGGGATTTGTTGCGCACAGGTTGGTCGCGAAATCAGCGGAGATTCTCCCAGCGACTATTGCCGGACCTTCAGTGAATCTGACAGGCGATTCCCTTCCGACGAGGAAATTCCTCACTTCCGTTGGCTGAAGTTCGCACAGCATTAAATTTTGAGGAGGTAGCAGATGTTGAACCTATTTGCCCTACAGAACTAGCGACCTCATCAAAGGCTCAATAATTAGTAGACCGCTGATTAGCGAGCGCGGCGACAGCCATCATGCTAGTTTCAAAGGTCTGTCCATCGATCGAACGTGAGGGATCAGATTGAATGGAGCTTTTTGGGATCGGCAGCCAAATAAGCAGCGTCTTGTTGATTAAACTCAGGTGCGGCATCAGTTTCCGCAGCATCGTCAACAACAATTGCTTGCGGCGTGTGTGACGGCTGTGAGATTTAACCTACTTGATATTTCATATAGTTCCCGAGTAGCATGATAGATAATGAAAATTGTATTAAATTGAAAGCTAGTTATGTTAGTATTAAACTTACAAATAAATAAAACAACAATAGAAACAGGAAAATTTAATACTTTTACGTTAATAGATGCCAAGAAAATTGAAATGGACACATTTGATAAACTACGACAATTTTTTTTGAGAATGCCGAAAAAAAAAATAGAAAAAGAAGTGAAGTAAGTATTACTAATAGAAATGTATGTAGACTCGGACAAAATTGAGTTCATCTTGAAGCTTGGAGTACTAAATAGAACTCACAAGAAGCTTTTAGATAATAATCAATTTATATACGTAGAAAACTAAGCATAAGCTGGCCTCTTTACCTTAATTTGCTGCTACCCATTGTCCAAGTTGTGCGTGGAACATAAGCCTAGAATGGAGACAAAAATAAAAGCTTAAAAGATACACTGACTTAAGAAGGCTCCGGTTAACCGACTAAAAGAACTTTTAATTGTCTCGTTACTATAAAATGGCAAGCCAAATGGATTCGCGAGGATAAGGATTAAAACCAAAACAGAAACCAAACAAAAAAAAAAAAAAGAAAGAGAAACAAGGAAGGAGAAAGAGAGCGAGAGACACAGGGAGAAACGAGAAGGAACCAAAGGAAGTTTTGGTGTTTAATTGCAGTGCCACCATAAGCAGCTACGGTTACAGAAGGTAATTGATGCTCTGTCCATGAATGATCTTGTTAGTAATTGATTTAGTTAGTTTGAAGACTAGGCAGTAAGTTTGAAGCTAAGAGACATGCTCTCCCTCTCTCTCTCGGGTTTATATTTTACTCTATTAAAATGAACGTTAAATCCTTGTTGTTTGAGGCGGCTTGTTATTATCTTTATAAATTCTAGTTGCTTAGATGATCAAGGGTTGGGTTCGAAGATTACAAATAAATATGTGGTTCAGGTTGTGAAGTTAGAATCCAAACTTGAAAGCCGCCAAATAGGGGCGAATTATTGTGTTCTTGTGACTTGAATTTCGGAAACGATTTTGTGTCGTTTGAAACTGAATAAGAACCAAGGAAACAGGATTCAACTCTCTCCATTCGTGATGTACTTGGAAGTTTTAGCTACTATATTAAGAATTAAATCTACCTTGTCGTTAAAGGATTAAAAGAATAATAATAAGTAGAATAAAAGGGAAGTAGAAGAAAAGAAATTGGACCGTAATGAAAGAAATTCCCTTGGGTCAGATTTAATTAGTTAAAACTTAGTAATCTAAACTTAAATTAGCACTAGTTCTACATACGTACTAGACTTTGAAAGAAAAGGACACATATGCTTGGTCCAGTTAGCAAGTCTGAACTAACCTTAATAGTAAGAACAATAATAATAATATTAATACAAGAGGGAAACAAGTAGGAAGTATATAGTACATATATTTGAGCAAATTCACTTAACATTATAGTATGTCAGTTGTGTCGAATTAGTTCTAATACTACAACACCGTTAAACTCGCTTGCAGAAGGAGGACCCGAAGGTTCAAAAAGGGCTTAATAATACGGTGAGTGATTCTTACTCTTTTAAAAACTGGGAGTATGGGAATATATATTTGAAAGTCACTATACCCTTGAGCACATTTTTAAATGTTATTGATAAATGACCCGGAGGTGTACTTTATCGCCCTGGGGTATGTGTTCTATGTGGATTTTGAGATAAAATGATATCGTTGTGTGATTGAACGTACTTGATTGAATATGATCGTTGAATGTGTTGCTTCTGGTGATGTACTTTACCACATCAGGACAACTATTGTTGTTATCGATTGAATGTTGTGAAATAATGTGTGATTGTTGCTTCGGTGGACTCTGTTCACTTGGAGCCTGGGCCCTGCCTTTGTTAGGCGAAGCCTTGCGGGCCGGCATCGGGCTTGGTCCCCAGGTTAGCTTACCTAGGCTTATCGTGTTGTCCGGATGGACGCGGAACTCATGAGTATCCAATGGTGGCCACGAGGTGTTGGAGAGGAATTGTTAATGAATCGTTATCGTATTGTTGAATCGTTATCGTGTTGTCCGGATGGACGCTATCGTATTGTTGAAATCTGGCTTGGAGTCCGTCTCTGTGCCACGTAGCCTCTTTGACGGCCCTTACTAAGGTTTCTCTGTATCCACCCTATTGTTGATTGCTTAATGTGAAATAGTTGATTATTGAATGTTTCTATGTGAATCGTTTTATATTTGAATATTGCTTTTTAAAAAGAGTGTTATTAAAAGTATCGTAGTAGTATAGTGAGAACCTCACTGAGCTCGGCGCTCACCCCTTTTATATTTTATTCCCCTAACCCTCTCCCAGGTCCGAGCGCAATAGAAATTTAGCCAAGCTACGAAATGATCGGTTCGTGAGACGGTGTTCAATGTAAATAGTTCGTTAGCCAGTTTGTGTTAAGTTACGGGTGTGTAATATAACCCTTTTGATGAGAAACATAACTCAAGCTCACGTTTGAGCTTTGTAATAATGTTACCTTTTTACCTTTATGTGATATAAAGTTTGCGGGTTTTAATTATTAATTGATAAATGAACCTTAGCGCGAGCTAGGTGGACGCCTTAACTAGACCATTTAGTTGGGTAAACCTAGGTGACTCTAGTCAGGGTCGTCACAGGTGGTATCAGAGCGCGATTAGAGATCGAGTTGGTACCTATGTAGGTATTAAGTAAGTAATATCGACTTGGGCTACTGACTGCTACTCCATTGTAGGATTTCATGGAGCGTGCAAGTGTTATACGCTATCAGCGTCGCGAAGGAGCAAGGCGTCGCCTTTGGGCACCCTATGTAGTACGAGGAAACATGTGCCAACACTTCGTAACCCATTCCTACCCAAACCATGTGGAACATGCGGTTATTCGTGAAAGAGATCAGCTCCGACGTCAAGAAGAATGTGACCTACATACACAGGAGCAGCAACGGGAGCGTGTAAGGAATTTGGAACAAGGGACTAAGGCTGCTGAATATCGGGAGAGGGAAATGTTGACCTGGATAGCAGATTGGGATGAGCAAATGACGTATAAAAATCAGCAACTCAAGCGTAGGAATTACGAGATAGAACTCAAAGACCGTGAGATAGAGGCGAAAGATCACCAAATCTACCAGTTGCGTAAAGAATTGTATCAGGCATGCCTGGAGTCTCAAGCTTTCCCGACCGATGAAGCGACAAGCTCCAGTGAAGCAATGGAAGTGGCCTGCGACTGTATTGAATCTCACGAAGGACGGAAGGCAACCTCCGGAGATGAGCAAGAGCGCGTGAAAAACATTACTGTATCGGTAGCCAAGTAGGTTAATAGAGCCACTAGACCTGAACGTGTGTATTAGGGGTCAACTACTATCGACTTCGTTTTAAATAATCCATAAGGACCCTTTTGTTGTAATATAGTGTCCTCCCACTTATGTAAATAAGTTAGGGAAACTAGTCGTTTTGTACGTTGGTAGTTGGAGAGGTGTGGTTGTGAGTAATTTATGTAAAATACTATGTAGTTAGTACATGTATGTGATTTTATATGTTATCACCATGGTTTTGAAACTTTTAGTGAATATGCTTATTAAATAGTTCTATTTAGGTGGTATCCTAATTGAAACGTGTTTATAGAGCTTGGCCTAGAATATACGACAAGTTTATGGTCTAACAGGTGGGTAGAAAATACTTTTAAGTTAAGTTATGTTTTCATATGGAAAGTACTGACCTTTCTCCATTCCTGGTAGGATCTCATGGAGCGAGCACCAGCTATCCGCTTTAAGCGTCGGGAGGGATCTAGGTACTTAACCTACACTCCCTACTGGGGAAGTCATTCACGTATGTGCCGACACCTTGAGACCCATTCATACCCAAATCATCTAGTGAAGGCCGTAGCTAGGGAAAGGGATGATCTCCTTGAGCGTGTGGAACAAGTTGTTGTGGTACGCCGCCATCAGTTGGAGCGGATGCAGGAAATGGAGTTGCGTGCCCGACATGCTGAGGATAGGGAATGGGATGCTCATGCTAAGGCGGAGGAGCAGATTGAACGCAAAAATCAGGAGCTCGACCAGTTGCGCACAGAGCTGCAATTAGCACATGCAGAAATACAATCCGCACGTGTTGAGTTTCAGCACTATAGAGAGAGTGTGCTTGCATTTGCCGATACCCTTCTCCAAGCTTCTCATAGTCACGTGGAGGCCATCGAGGGTTCTGAAGCGATGGTTGAGTGATATCATTAGGGCTATGTTTTATGTAGTGCGCAAGTTTGCCAGTTCTTTTGGCTTTCTTTGGGTGTTAGTTATAGGGATCTTTTGGTGCAACATAATCCCATTTGAATCCTTGTGCAGTTTAGGTGGCAAACTGTCTAGGTTTTAAGTTGTAGGAGAAAATCTTGGTTGTTAAATATCCATGTAAATATGGCTTGCTATTTTATCTGAGTAGTGTTTCCCCTTATATTGATCCTCCTTTAATTTTCTGTTATACATCTCCCTTCAGTTTTCAGCGTTTTTCAATTTTAACAACCTTAGAAATATATGTAGAAAATGGAAGAACATACCCAGTCGGAGCCTGCAGAAACACGACCTGAGCATAAAGCTACAATTGGCAATATGACGCTGGAGATGACTCGTGCCTTTGAGCAAATGAGAAAGTATTACGAGCAAATGGGGGCAATGACACCACCGCCACAGGGGCAACCACAGAACGCTGGACAAGGTGAAGATGTGGCGTTAGAACGCTTCCACAAGTTCAACCCTCCAAAATTCAATGGAGAACCAAACTATGAGAAAGCAGAATTGTGGTTAGAGACCATAACTAAAATATTTGACACTCTCAAGTACTCCAAAGAACGTCAAGTTACATTTGCAGTGTATCGATTGGCGGCAGCAGCCAAAGCTTGGTGGAGGTTAATCAAACTCCGATGGGATCGAGACCATGTGCCTTATACCTGGGCCAACTTTGTCAAAGAATTCACCGCTAAGTATATACCTGCTATTGTGTGCAAACGTAAGCAAGAGGAATTCATCAACCTTCGCTAAAACACTGCTACTGTACTTGAATATGAAGCTACCTTTACCAAGTTGTCAAGGTTTGCTCCAAAGTTGGTCGAGACAGATGAGGAACGACAACAGAGATTTGAACAGGGCCTTAATTTGGAGATTCAAGCCTCACTGTCCACTACCAAATATGAGTCTTTCGAGGAAATGTTTGAGGCTGCCCAAAAAGTGGAGGGTAGTCAGGCTAAGCTTCGAAACTTCCACAACCAGAAGCGGTCTAATACGAATGCGTGGCAAAAAACTAGAGGAAATATCCCTTCGAAAGGACCAGGAATTCCTCCAGGAAAACAAATGGGTCCTTCCAAACCAACTGTCAGAGTTCAATCTGGATCAAACGCGGTGCCAACTTGTTTGTTCTGCCGTAAATCTGGTCACCTCGAGAAAGACTGCTTGTTTAAACAGCGGAGGTGTTTCGGTTGCGGGAGTACTGAGCATTACGCCCGTGAATGCCCAAAGATTCGTGATAAATCAGGACCGAGTTCCCAAGCTGAAGCTGCCCCACCCTTAAAGAAGCCCGAAGGGGAGACTCGTAAACCCCGAGTCCCTGCAAGAGTCTTTGCTTTAGAAAAGCGGGATGAACCAGAGCCTAACGATGTTGTCGAAGGTACGCTTCTTGTTCTCCATCAATTAGCTACCGTTCTGATTGATCCTAGTTCTACTCATTCTTTTGTTGCACCAACCTTTATGAAAAAATTTAATATCGGGACAAAACAATTACCCTACTATCTAGAGGTTGGTACCCCCACATCAAGTAAAAGAATCCTTATCGACACGTTATACCAGGACTGTGAGGTAGAAGTTCAGGAGAAGAAATTTCCAGCCAATCTAATCTTGTTACCTATACAAGATTATGATGTCATACTAGGGATGGATTGGTTGTTACAGTATCACGCTCAATTAAATTGTCGGACCAAGGAAGTAAAATTTTGTATTCCCGGGGAGGACATTTTGCACGTTTGCCTAAAAGGAAAATCAAAGAATGGGGGTATAATTTCTGCTGCTCATGGTAGGAGGTTGCTTTGGAAAGGGGCAACAGGATGTCTAGCATATATTATAAATAAACGTCAGGATAAACTGAAACTACAAGAAGTACCAATTGTTCAAGAATTTCCTGATGTATTCACAGATGAGCTGACATCGTTACCACCTGATAGGGAAATTGCATTTGTTATAGATTTAGCCTCTAATGCGACCCCAATTTCCCGAACTCCTTACCGTATGGCCCCAATAGAACTTAAGGAACTTAAAATCCAGCTTCAAGATTTGTTGTCCCGAGGATTCATTCAACCTAGAACGTCACCTTGGGGAGCTCCTGTTTTATTTGTTAAAAAGAAAGATGGGACGTTGAGGTTATGCATCGATTACCGAGAGTTAAATAGCATAACCATCAAAAATAAGTATCCATTACCATTGATTGATGAACTCTTCGATAAACTTCATGGTGTGACAGTGTTCTCAAAACTATATTTGAGACAAGGATACTATCAGTTACGAATCAAGAAAGAAGACGTACCCAAGACAGCATTAAACACCCGTTATGGTCATTATGAGTTTGTTGTCATGCCATTTAGATTGACCAACGCGCCTGCAGCTTTTATGGATTTAATGCACCGAGTCTTCCAGCCATATCTGGATCAGTTTGTGGTAATCTTTATTGATGATATTTTGGTATACTCTAAGACACCTACTTAACATAAAGAACATGTAAGGATAGTACTTCAAACTTTAAGAGCACATAAGTTGTATGCTAAGTTTAGTAAGTGCGAATTTTGGCTAGAAAAGGTGTCCTTTTTAGGCCACGTTTTTTCACGAGATGGTATCACTGTTGACCCGTCTAAGATCGAGGCCATCCTTACGTGGAAGCGACTTGAGACTCCAACGGAGATACGTAGCTTTTTGGGTCTAGGAGGATATTACCGAAGGTTTGTCCCTGGTTTCTCTAAATTGGTTGCACCATTAACAAGGTTAACACAAAAGCAAGTCAAGTTTGTGTGGGATGATAGAACCGAAGCTAGTTTTCAAGAGCTAAAACGACGGTTAACAACGGCACCACTCCTTGCCCTCCCGAGTGAGAAAGGAAATTTTATGGTACACACAGATGCTTCAAAGGAAGGACTTGGATGTGTATTAATGCAGAATGAGAAAGTGATCGCATTTGGTTCTAGGAAACTAAAACCGTATGAGCAGAATTATCCGACTCATGATCTTGAGCTTGCGGCAGTAGTAGTTGCGTTGAAGAAATGGAGACATTACTTATATGTAGCTACTTTTGATATCTACACTGATCACAAGAACCTTAAGTATCTTTTTTCACAGAAGGAGTTGAACCTACGTCAGCGCAGATGGATCGATTTTCTGGAAGATTACGATTGTAAGATAAATTATCATCCCGGAAAAGCTAATGTGGTAGCCGATGCTCTAAGTAGAAAAGTTCAAGTCGCAAGGTTAACGGCTCGGAAGATGGAGTTGCTCGAATATGTCAATGGTTGGAACCAGATACAAGCCGAAGAGAGGGTTACATGTTCCAATATTGCAGTTCGTCCAACATTACTACTTCAATTTAAAGAGGCCCAAGAACAAGATCCAACTTTGCAACAACTACGCAAGCGAGTTGAGATCGGAGAGTTACCTAACTATGTTTTAGGACTTGATGGAATCTTGAAATTTCAAAATCGTGTGTGTGCACCCCAAAGTTCTGAATTGAAGAAAGCAATCCTTGAGGAAGCACATCGGTCCACCTATACAGCCCATCCAAGGAACAACAAGATGTATAGGGACTTGAAGCCATATTATCATTGGGGTAACATGAAGAAAGATATTGCTCAATATGTTGCGACATGTCTTACCTGTCAGCAGGTGAAATTGGAACATCAACAACCCTCCGGACTATTGCAGCCATTGGATATACCTGAATGGAAGTGGGAGCATATCACTATGGATTTTGTTTGTGGATTACCTCAATCATCTAAGGGTTATGATGCATTTTGGGTAATTGTTGACCGATTAACCAAGTCTGCTCATTATCTACCAGTGAACATGAGATATTCGTTGGAAAAATTAACCCAAATTTACATAGATGAAGTGGTGAGGCTACACGGCATACCAGTTACCATAGTTTCTGATCGAGATCCTCGTTTCACTTCTCGTCTCTGGCAACAGTTACAACAGAGTTTAGGTACCAAATTAAACTTTAGCACTGGAGCGCACCCTCAAACAGATGGCCAATCAGAGCGAACAATCCAAACTCTTGAAGACATGCTCCGTACGTGCATTCTTGATTTTGGAGGTAATTGGAACCAATACCTTACATTGGTAGAGTTTGCCTATCATAATAGTTATCATTCTTCCATTGGGATGGCACCGTATGAGGCACTATATGGTCGGAAGTGTCGTACCCCGTTACATTGGGATGAAGTTGGCAAAAGGAAAATTATGCAACCGGATCAGATACCATGGGTTGAGGAGGCGTATCAAAAGGTGCGGATGATTCGTCAGCAACTACGAACTGCACAGAGTCGACAAAAGAGTTATGCAGATAACCGCCGAAAGAATCTGGAGTTCGAGATCGGTGACAAAGTGTTTCTAAAGATATCACCTCAGAAGGGAATTGTTAAACATGGAAAGAAAGGTAAGTTGAGTCCGAGATATGTGGGACCGTTTGATATAACCAAAAGGATCGGAAAAGTTGCGTACCAACTTGAACTTCCACCCCACCTCTCCAAAATGCATAACGTGTTTCATGTGTCTCTACATAAGAAGTATCATCCCGACCCCAACCACATTATACAATATGAAGACCTTGAGGTGGGCGAGAACTTAGTATATGAAGAAAAACCAATAAAGATTCTTGATCGCAAAATCAAAGAATTACGTACGAAGACAATCCCACTTGTCAAAGTACTATGGAAGCATCATGATGTAACAGAAGCAACGTGGGAACCTGAAGCTGATATGAAGATAAAGTACCCAGAGCTTTTTCACGAATCAGGTATGAATTCCGAGGACGAAATTCTTTTAAGGGGGCAAGGATGTGACGGCTGTGAGATTTAACCTACTTGATATTTCATATAGTTCCCGAGTAGCATGATAGATAATGAAAATTGTATTAAATTGAAAGCTAGTTAGGTTAGCATTAAACTTAAAAATAAATAAAACAACAATAGAAACAGAAAAAT